ATATATATATACAACACACACATACACACACACACACATATATATATATATTTATATATATGTACATATATACACATATATATACATACATAAACACACACACATATATATATTTATATATACATATGTATATATGTATATTTATATATATATATATATAATTATTATTTGTATAATTATATATCTATATACTTATATATAGTCACACATAAATATATGTATATATACGTGTGTGTGGGGATTTGTGGAGTGATATTTTTGTCATACACATTCATGCTTTCACCAGATAAATCTATTACTTATGGATACGAATAATTGAGAACGGATACATGTAGTTCTATATAACTCGTGTATTTGACTAGTATTTTGCATTCTCGACTCATTGCGACTGGGAATGCAAAGTATACTTTTTGATTAATTCCACCTGCATGTTATTATAATACATATGTTAATGTACATATATACATGTGACTTTGTGGACACGTGTGTTATTGGGTTGGAGTCTGTTTGTGTATCGTGTTAGGGTGCGCTCACTAGACTGATTCAAACCTTTACTGTACATGCTAGTATGGTGCTTTACTGTATCAAGTTTTATGCATTGAAAGTTGCCAGGTGCATGTCGCTGCTGTATTTACAACCCCCAGATCGGCCGAAAATCATTACTGATTTTGAACTTTAATACTTTAAATTAAATAATATTGACTGGACTTCTATCCCAACTCGAAATAGCGGAAGAGTCAGTGTCAGACATGGGTAGTATTTGGCTATGCATGGACAGCGTACCTTATTGCAATCATAAATGCACTGTTTCGGCCTAGCTGTTAATTCTCTCAACCCCACCTTCTCCAACCCAAACTTCTGTCATCTACAGCACGGTACTCCACCACTACACATTTAAAGGCAAAGTGAACACAGCCAGCTTCTCGCCGGACGGCAAGTACTTCGCAGTGGGTGTGGGGAAACATACCGAGCTCTGGAAGGCCCCAGGACTTCACAAGGAATTCGCACCCTTCGTACACCATCGCACATACACAGGCCACCACGATGATGTTACCTGCATTGGGTGGTCGTCAGACTCCAAGTTCTTCTCCTCGGGTTCTGAGGATATGACTGCCAGAGTCTATTCCGTTCACCCAATCGCAGGGTTTACTCCGCGGTTGCTGTCGGGCCACAGAGACTACGTGAGCGGCGTGTTCTTCTCCAGCGATGACTCGCATATATACACAGTCTGTAGGAACGGCGCGCTGTTCTGCTACCGCAAGGTGGTGCAGGGTGTAGATGAACACGGTATTCCTGGGTATGTCGCGTATGAACCCCCTGCTGATGGCACGGGTACCAAGGAGGCGGGGGATGAGAACATGGCCCCTATCTGGCATCTGTACACCAAACACTACTTCAATCACAATCACGCGAAGGTCATATGCGCCGGATTTCATGAGAAGACGAATGTGCTGGCCGTGGGATTCTCAAATGGAGTGTTCTGTTTGTACGAACTCCCGTCATTCACAGAGATCCACAGTCTCAGTATCTCGCGCAACAAGGTATGTGTTAGTTGCCATTGAGAACTTAATATAAATTCCGTTGTAAAAGTATTTGCTGTACCACTATCGTGCTCGACAGGCGGCTGCTTCAGTCTCGGTGAGTGTACAAGTATATATATTAAGTATCGGATGTTGTACGATTATTGTATGAAATGTCAGGATTATCATTCCAAATACCTTGCCAGCGAGCTATCATTCTCATACGGTCATTCACCTACACCCTACCACAGATTTCGTCTGTCGCCATCAACGCCACAGGCGAGTGGATCGCCTTCGGCAGTGAGAAGCTGGGACAACTCCTCGTTTGGGAGTGGCAGAGTGAAAGCTATGTGCTCAAACAACAAGGTCACTTCCACGAAATGGGGGCGGTCGCGTACTCGCCCGATGGACAGCTTATCTGCACAGGTGGTGATGATGGGAAAGTGAAGGTCTGGAACACTCGCTCAGGGTTCTGTTTTGTCACCTTCAGCGAACACACAGCCAGCGTGACGGGTGTCAGGTTCAGCCACTCTGGTCATGCTGTGTACTCTTGTTCGCTAGACGGAACTGTGCGTGCATATGATCTGATTCGATACAGAAATTTTAGGACCATGACCTCCCCACAACCGGTGCAGTTCTCGTGCTTGGCCGTAGATCCAGCGAGTGAGATGGTGTGCGCGGGCACACAGGACACCTTTGATATCTACGTGTGGTCGTTGCAGACTGGTAGATTGTTGGAGGTATGTGTATGGAATATTTCAAGACTTTCTGATTGACTGAGTGCTTGTGTTGATTTTATCAACCAAAACTCGGGGGTATGTAGTCATCGCTTCGGTATTTGTCGCATCGATGTAAAGGACATTGGCGAGGAAGTGTACACCCACCGTGCATGTTATATGCAGATGATTAATCTCCAGAATTGGCACTTAACACTCCTCTCCCCGCGACACAGGTTTTGTCCGGACACGAAGGGCCCATCACAGCTCTACACTTCAATCCTCTAACGTCAGTGCTGTGCAGTGGTTCATGGGATCACGAGCTCCGCATGTGGGACATATTCGATAACAAAGCAAGCACTGAAGGTATGTCTTGTATATCTCTTGTCATTATTTCCGTTCAGCATTGTGCGCTTGCATACACTGGCTGGTTTTATGCACAGACTAAGGGCGTAGCCACTCGCCGTGCAGGCGACGGCTGCTGTTGCGCTTATACGTTCCAACTGTTTCATGCAATGAGTAGTATCTTTTAAAGTCCTCAGCGTTCCTGCTTACAAGGTTGTTAATAGTGCATGTGGTATTCTCCCTCCAGCGCTTCCACACACAACGGACATCCGGGCCTTCTGCTTCGCACCGTCTGGCAAGGAGATCTGTGTGAGTACACTGGATGGTCAATTGACCTTCTGGAATGTCGAGGAGGCTAAGCAAGTGGGGTCTATTGAATGCAGAAGGGATATCGCCGGTGGTAGGAAACGAGATGACCTGGTTACAGCCAAAAACTCGGCTAGTGGGAAGTGCTTTACTAGCGTGTGCTACAGTGCTGATGGGCAGGTGAGCTATATACATACATGTATCTTTTCACTCTGATGGTTGTATAGTTGTCCTAAATTTTCATGTGCGCGTTCAATGTTCACACTGAGGCATAATTTATTCATTATATACACACGATGTTGGATCGCAGTAATTACGGTGATCACTTGTTCAGCCCTGCAGCTTATCCTCGTATCTCATCGCATCCTGTGTCTGTTGCCTCATCTCTCTATCAGGTTATTCTGGCCGGTGGTCGCACAAAGTACGTTTGCATCTACTCCGTCGCCGAGAGATGTCTTCTGAAGCGATTCCAAATCACCATCAACTCGAGGTTTGATGGTCTGCTAGAGAAACTCAATAGCAAGTACATCACAGAGGCTGGTACAAGCATGGAAAACTACTCTGATGGCGAGGGAAGTGACCTCGAAGACCGTGTTGACCATTCCTTGCCTGGAGTTGCAAAGGGTATGTTGATGCTTGATACAAATCACTGGCAAATCTGTGTTTCAAAACTTGGAAGTCGAGTGTAGCGAATTTCGCGCTGTTTGCTCCTCTGCTAAAACAGGTGTTCGCGATTTTCCAGTACACTCCACCCAATCACTCACATGATCATCCACGGCAAGTCAGAAACACGGTATTGATTTGGATTTTGTCTGCACGCATTGACCTCAGGTGACTTGAGCAAGCGGAATACCAGGCCTGAGATCCGCACTCGTGGTGTCGAGTTTTCACCCACTGGCAGTGCATGGGCGGCCGCTACTGTGGAGGGGTTACTGATATACTCTCTGGATCAAAAGGTAGTGTTCGACCCCTACGACCTAGATATCGACGTCACACCAGACACGGTCAAGGAATCGTTGCAGGAGAAAGAGTACGAGAAAGCGTTTTCCTTGGCGCTCAGACTGAACGAGAAGGAATTGATAATTGAGGTATGTGTTAATATGGATGGGATTGTGACCTTTCATGTGGTAACACAATATATATATATATATATATATGGATGTATATTATATATATATATATATAATATTATATTATATATATAATATACATACATTATATATATATATATATATATATACTACATATATATATATATTATTATAT